CAGCGATCAGATGATGGGCGCCCTGCCTCTCCCTGGTGGGCAGCACAGCCCCTGGGAGACAGCTTCATTCACCCTCAGTCACGAGGTGCAGTGTGGTCGCCTCACAGAGGCGGGCTCGGCCCACGACATCCTGCAAAGAGGAGCACTCCAGGAGCGGTAATCCTCATCTTCACGTTGTTCTTGTTGGGTGTGTTCAGTTGTTTTGAAACAGGGCTTTGCTATGTAGTTCAGGCTGATCTTACAGGGTTTGGTTTTAATTTAGTACAGGTTCTACAGGGTCTCACCAGGTAGATCTTCTCCTGTTTAGTCTCCCAAATTCTGGGATTACAGGCACGTCACCACACCTAGTCTTAACTGCTGTCTCAGCGTGCCCAGGCCAGCACGGAAGGCCCAGGGATTGAACCCTGGCCCACGTCTGCCTAAGCAGGCACTTTAATCTCCTGAGCTACTTGGCCAGCCCTGATTTTATGTATTTGGTACAGGGTCTCACTACATAGATACGATTCTATTGACACCTCCTGTTTTTCAGCCTCCCCAGCTGATTAGAGGTATATGCCACCATACCCCAACTCAGTGAGGTGGGGACTGGGCCAGTGTGGCATGGGTGCTGGGGACCCAAACCCTAGTCCCTGAGCTTGCCTAAGCAGGCACTTAGCCCGCTGAGCTCTCATTGGCCCTGTTCAGGCTGGTCTCAGACTTGCTGGTCTCCAACTTGCTATGGAAACCAGGCTGGCCTTGACCTTGTGGTGATCCTCCTGCCTCAGCCTCCCTTGTGTTAGGATTCCTCGGTGCACCACCACACCCTGCTGAGACTAAATTGTGCAGGCTGGGCTTGAACTTGTTAGCCTCCTGCAACAGCTAGGAGTCCAAAGTGCTAGGAGGTAGGTTCTTGCTTATTCACAATCAGTCCGGTAGTGAGACCTGTACCAAATACATAAAAATAAAACGGAAAAAATTGGTTGATATTAACTTGCTGTGTGGGGCTGGGGAGATGGCTCAGAAGAATATGTGCTTCCCTGGCAAGGGCAAGGGCCTGAGTTCAATCCCCGGTTGGGGGGCGGGGGTAGCTGAAAATATTTTAAGTGTTTCCACTACAAAAAAAAAAAGTATTTGTGGTGATGGATGTGGTCACTGGCTTGATCTGCACTTTCCACAATGTATACATATAGAAACAAAAACAAAGAAAAACAATGCATATATTCTTCAAAACATCACATGGTATCAATAAATGATTATTTATCAATGAACTAAAAATGTGATGGGGTAGGGCATACCTGTAATCCCAGCCCTCTGGGAGGCTGAGGCAGGAGGGTTGTTACCGTGAGCCTAGCCTGGGCAATTTAGGGACTTAGCGATTGGATAGCAAGAGGGTTGGAGATGTAGCTGCTTAGGGAGTCTGGCCTCAAGGAACAGACAGACAGACAAGACAGACAAAGGAGAAGACCCCCTGTCCCAGTTGAGGGCCAGTGAAGATGGAAAAGCAGTCCAGACCACCCCTGCCGATGGCAACGTCCACTAACGCACAGCGCAGCGTCCATAGTGTCCTAAATCACCAAAGCCTGGACCTGGAAGTAATCCATTGCCCCCTGCCAGGTGAAGGGGTGAACAATCCCGATGAGAACTCCTGGTCCTGCAGCACCCCTGGGAACCAGCCGGACTGAAAGGAGTGACGCTGTAAGGCCCACAAACTCAGCAGACGTAGCCCTGGCCCAAGTGGTGCACACTGCCCTGCTGCAGCACAGCCTGGAGCGCGGCCTGGTGCAAGACTTCCTCAGACATTTGTGCACGTGTGCAGGGAAACGCCTCAGCCTGTCGCATCTTCAACCTCGGTGGCCAAACATAGGCTGAGAGCAAGGGTCTTGGTAAATTAATGGAACAGGGCTAAAGAGAGTTAACTGCCACTGTTAAAAGATTTTTCAGTTACGAAAAAATCATCCATCAGTTCCCAAAGTCTCTGTAGCTTGTTTTCTGTTGGGGGCGGGGGCCAGGGTCTCACTATGTTGTCCAGCCTGGGATGAATAATTTACTATGTAGCCCACCCAGGCTGACCCCAAACTCACAGCAATCCTGCCTCGGCCCTTCCAGTGCTGGGATTAAAGATGTGTGCCACCAAGCCAAATTTGGAGTTTTACTGGCAGCAATGGTAATGGCAGGGACGAGCTGGAAAGGTATAGGGCTGGGGTGCAGGCGCAAACAGACTTCAGAACGAACCCTGAAAGATGGGTCAGCCACTCCCCACAGCTTTCTCCCGCGACGGCCTCTTGCTGTGGTGATGGATACGGTGACCCACACCCTCCCCACAGCGACTGCAACTGCTTTGAAGAACAGTTCACAGGTCAACAATTTCTGACATTGCCAGTCAAGCGGAAGACCCAATACTATTATGGGCTACTGGACTCTTTTAGAATATTCTGTTTACACACCTATAATATTCAAATAATGGAACTTAACAAAAAAAGGGTATACAGATGAATGTCCATTTTGTATCTGTGTATTCAAAGTGGTTAGGACAGATAGTTACATTCCCTTAATGAATAGTGATTTGTTCTAATGGTGTTTGTAAATAGGGTATCATGTCCACATCTTGTACAGCAATTAACCACTAGGAAGAATGTATGCAACGTGTTAATTATTGAAACTGTCCTACCAACTTGATTTGAAACTGGCGCATTGCTATCTATCAATAAAATTATGGGGGAAAAAGAAAAAACAACAGTTCAGAGGGGCTGGGGAGATGGTGCTTCCTGCGCAAGTGGAAGGGCCTGAGTTCAATCCCCGGTTCCGCAAAAAAAACAAAACAAAACAAAACAAAACACAAAGAACAGTTCAGGGCCAGCCAGAGAGCTCCGCAGATTAAAGTGCCTGCTTAGGCAAATGCAGGGATGGGGTTTGATCCTTGGCGTGCCCTGCTCGCCCCACCCCTGGGTCACGCCGAGACAGTGAGACTGGACATGGTGGCGCACACATGTAATTCCAGCGCTCAGGAGGCTGAAAACAGGAGGATCACTGTAAGTCCGATTTCTGTAGTGAGACCCTGCACTGAATACATTAAAACAAAACAAAACCAGCTCTTCAGCACACCATCTGCCTGGATGTGTTGGCGCACACCTGTAATTCAGTACTGAGGCAGGACAGCCACGAGATCAAGGCCATCTTGGACTACTGTAGTGAGTTCAACACCAGTCTGAGCTACAAAGTGAGACCTTGACTCCAAAAAATAAAGCCTAAGCTCTGCAAAGCACCGCTCACACAGCTCACCCCAGGGGGCCTCCCCTGCCCTGCCAGCTCTGGCATGAATGTAGGTTTGGAGTTACAGGTTCACGTACAACTTTGTGCTGCTTTTCAACCAGACCAGTGGTGCCAGAGGGTGCATGTGAAGCAGGGTGCTCCCCAGCAATGAAGATCGGTGGGGCATTTCTGTGAGACCCAGGACAGGGGCAGGCGGACAGGCAGCCACCTGCACGAAATGTGTCTGTCCTCAGGCAGTCACCCCGGCATGTCCCCAGAGTCTAGAGCCAATTTAAGTCACGAGGGAAGAGGCTGGCAAGGAGCCCTGCTTGACAAACAACGACAGTTTAGGGCCAGGAAAACAGCCAGGCTGCACAGGAAGCTCGCGGCCTCCCTTGACACAGCTTTCCCCAAAGGATCCAGGTCACACACTCACGCGGTGTGCACACAAGGCGTCCGACGTCATCGGGCAGCAGGGAGACCGGGTGAAAGGCCACTCCTGGCAGGGCAGCCAGACATCCTCTCCTGGCCAAAACAGCTTCCACCCGTGGAGCCATCTGGCTCAGCCCGCCACAGCTCAAGATGCTCTCAGCTGCCACCTTGTGGTCCAAAGCACACTCACAGAACAGACCCGAGGTGACCAGCAGAAAAATCACCTGCACAGTTCACGATTTCCATCATTTATTTTTGGACATGAGATCTGTGTGTTCAGGCTGGCCTCCAACTCACAGCAACCGTTCTGCCCCAGCCTCCTGAATGCTGGGATTGCAGGCCTGCACCACCATGCCCAGCCAGCCTGCCTTGCGGCATGGTGCCAGGCAGTCTTGTGTGTAGGACCAGATAGTCAGTCCTCTCTGCCTCTTGGGGACACAGCATCACTGCTCGAAAACAATGCCCTGCCCACTTGTCACGTGCCGGGGCCTTCTCAAACAAGAGCTACAGCTACTTGGATAGTAAAAGTCCACTTTGGAAAATTAAAGACTTTTATCTAGGGCCTCGCTGTCCGTTCAGGCCCAGCTCCCTACCAGTATGCCGCAGCCTCGAGTGCTGGGACTGGCTGTGCGCCAGGCCTTATTCCTGGCATCTGACAGGGTCTCACTCCACAGTTGTCAGGCCTTGAATCTGTGGCAATTCTCCCACCTCAGCCTCCTGAGCACTGGCGCTGACTATAGGGGCGGGCAACTCAAAAGTTTTTCTGAGCTGGAAATGGAATCCAGAGCCTCAAACATGCCTGTGCTCTACCAAGCTCACCCCCAGCGTCTTCCTGTGCCTTTTCTCCTTTGGTTCTCGTAAGAACTGCCTTTAAGCCTGATGAGTTAGCCAAGTGAAGTGACACCTGTAAGCCCAGCTCTGCAGGGAACCTGAGGCAGGAGGATCGCTGTCCACCATGGGAAACACAGCAAGACCTCTGCTTCCAAAAACAGGACTAGAAAGTGTGAGGACCCTGGCTTCAATCCCAAGTAACCTCTGCCTCCAGGAAAAAAGAAATAAAAAGTCAGTACATTAAGTTTAAACAGAAGCCTGTCCTCCTCCCACTTGTCTGTGGGGACTCCAGCATGTTTCCTCTCATCTTCTGCAGCACTTCCCCAGAGGACACACAGAACCCCAATTCCAGGGCCAAGAGTGACTCCCCCCTCAGCACTGAGGTGCCAGAGAAGGTGCCCGGCCTCCTCGAACCAACTGGCACCGCAAGAAGTCACCCAGACAAGCACCCCATCCCATTTGGATCCTTGAACCACTCCAGGCTTTGCAATACAAACAAATGGGACATATGCAGATCCCACGTTTTCTGGCTACATTTATTCAATGGAAAATAAAGTCCTCCAACTTTACTGCGGTGGCTGACCACGTCCACGACCAAATCCGCCTCTCTGCAGGAAAGAGCACAGGACAGCAGTTAGTGCATCTTGTTCTCCTGCACCAGGGTCGTCACCGCAGGCCAGAAATAGCGGCGAGGAGCACAGGCCTCTACCCAGCCCGGGCTGCACAGCTGGAGGCTCACCTTCCAGTCAGGCCATTTCCACCCTGGGAGGTGGGGGCGTGGCCACGCAGATGCACTCACAAGTCCTGGGCTGGAAGTGCGGCTGCCCCACCCACAGGGAGACCCTCGCAGGGATCTGCCCAGCACAAGCAATCTGTCACCTCCAGAGCTATCACAACATCGCCTCATTTGGTGGATGAAAAGCCCAGGCAGAAGGGAACTACCAAGATCACATCCAGGAGACGTGACCTGTTTCCACACCAACTTCACCCAGGAACGCAACATCCAGTGGCCACTTCAACTTGAAAACTTAATTCCAAGTCACTGAGATGAAACAGAGGACAGTGCCAGCCACACGCATGCACTGAGACCCACCCCCACCCACCAGAAACATATCTGGGATCTGAATAAAAACCCAGGGTCAGGCCCTTCCCCACACCCAATGCAAGCGGTGGCCCACGGATACTCACAAACTGGAATTCAGTGGCTGAACCGGCCCCCGCCTCAGCCTTCTTGTCGGCACCAGCTGGAGAAGAAACAGCCATTCAGAGCCACTGACCTGCCTAAGCCCCTATGTGGCAGGGTCAGCAGGGACACAACAGTGCAGGGAAGCACAAGCCACAATAGGTGGCTGCACTCCCAGCACCTGCTCAGCTTTACTGGGTCACCACTCTTAAGCTGTCCCCTCGTCCCGGGGCCCTATCTCAAACAACTGACTGGATGTATTCAAATAAACAAACATATAAACCACTAAAAGGTACAGTCAAGGATTTAAGCTACACATGCAGCTCACATAGACAGGTGCCTGGAGAGGACCGAGGCCACTATAGTGAACCTCAATGAAGTCAGAGTCTCCTCTTGGCCCTTTGGGAGCTGCCCAGCTAGGGTCCACTTGTGTCCTGAGCCACCACAGGACCTCACAGTGCCCCCAAAGCCTAGCCTTGCCTAAGGTCTCCATGGTAGGACCAATCACCAACCTCCTTTCCACTGAGGGGCAGAGGGACCTGAGAGGATCAGGTCAAGTCCCCACAGTTATCTCACTCTCCAGCCAATGCCCCAGATGGCTCAGCACAAAGCCCGCAGGGCCAAAACCAAGGAGCTTGGTGGTTACTTTGGCAGCTTCCAGGCTGCGCTCTGACCCGGCCCAGTGAGAACTCACAGCCCCCACCCTGTCCGCAGGCAGCACTTGGCACTCACCGGGCACGGCGCTGCGTCTGTAGGCATCCCTGTCGGCCTCCCCGCGCGTGAGCCTCATGGGCCGCTCGCCCTCCACACCTGTGGAGAAGCGTGGTCAATGTGCTGCGGGCCTGACATGAAGCCCAAGCGGTGGGGATGGGGCTTCCCGCCTCCTACAGACTGCCCTCAGTGACAAGCAGTTCCCCGGGGCTCAGAAAACTCATCTCAGGTAAGATGCTGTGTATCTCCCAGAAGCTTGCTTTGGCGCTTGCATTCTCAGCATAAAAAGAAAGCAGTTTCCAATTCCTTGAGAACTTAGAAATAAGGCTATGTCTACAAACATCTCAACAGGGGGCTGGGGAGATAGCTCAGTTGAATAAGTGTTTGCCTGGCAAGCTCAAGGGCCTGAGTTCAATCCCCAGCTCCGCAATAAAAAAAAAAAAAAACCCCAACATCTGAATAGACAGGATGCTGAATTCCACCCATCCCTCCAAGTGGCAGTGAGCATGCCAAGGAGAAAGGAAGTATAAGCTGGAAGCCCCAGCCCAACAGTAAGCATATAACCCGGAAGCCACCAAGCAAGAAGCCCTAGCTCTCCAGGATTTCTGCACAAACCTCCTTAGGATTTTCTGACTGAACCAAGAGCCAGAGCCATGCAACAGTCAAGTTCCAAACACCGAGCTACACCCCAAGCTGAGAGTGCACAGGTTTTCTGACACAAGGCCTTGGAATGTGTGTGTAGCCCAGGCTGCCCCAGACTCACAGAAATCATCCTGCCTCAGCTTCCTAAGTCCTGGGATTATAGGTACAGGCCACAACCGACATAAGTTTTAAAACCTCCAATCTTCATTTAAGATGCTCTCTATGGAAATAGAGAGCAAATACTCTCCCTACCCAGTCACCCCGGGGCAACCCTGGAGTACATGATTAGAGCACAACTAGTTTTTTTTTTTTTTTTTTAATTTTATTTATTTGTGTGTGTGTGTGTGTGTGTGTGTCCAGCTCAGCCCACCAGGGGGCAGGGCTGGCTGGCATGTGGTGCTGGGGGATTGAACCGCACGCAGTCCCTGTGTTTTTGCTAAGCTTGTTCTAAGTAGCTGCTTTAGACCACTGAGCCATCTCACCAGCCCCCACAACTAGTTTTAAAGCGCTAGGTAAACCTGGCTGCACAAGGGACAGGAGCAACCACCAGGCTCAACAGGCCCCAAAGCAGAATAATCTGTGGGGTGCACAGCAGATGCTGCTTCCCTGGATTCCTAGATTTAGCAGAACGCTCTTCCCAAAGGAGAGCAACTGGACCCTTTGGGGGTGCTCCCCTAGCCTGATCACTTCAGCCCACAAACGCCGGACGACAGTCCAAGTGACAGGTGCCATCACCCTGGCAAGGCAAGCCGGGGCCGGCAAGGCCTCGGGAGCAGTGCAACGCCAGGGTTTCACACCGCGATTCTGCATACACCGCTCTCCTACTTTTCAGGGTCTGCTCCTCTTGCCAAGAAACTCCAGTTTCCTTTCACGTGCAGCAAACTGCTTTGCTGTGGGCCTCAGGCTTCTTGGGTAAGCACGAACTCCCAACCTCTCCCCGTTGGAGCACTGTCACCTCACACTCCCCTCACAGGTGCCTGGGTGCTCACACAGGCCAAGGGGGGCAAAAGCCAGCTTTGTCTCCACTTGTGCTCAATGGCCGCTTGCAGAGCACCTCAAGACCTTGCTCAAGGCTTCAGACTGAACCAAATGCCCTGCGTGCCAGTCCCTCCAAATCTGAGACTAGTGTGTTTTAAAAAACAAGAACAAAAAAACCCCACCCATTGGGCTTGCTGGCATATGCCCACAATCCCTGCATTCAGGACACCGAGGCAGGAGGGTCCCCATGAGTTCCAGGCCAGCCTGAACTGCACAGGTAGACCCTGTCTCAAAAGAACAAGAAACCCGCTCCTCTCTCACACAAATACACCAGTCCCCCAGAAAGAGCAGCTTCTAGTAGGCTCTGGGAGGGAGTTATCCACACCCTACCTTTGGGCCGGGGTCTGCCAGTCTCAGGCCGGCTGCGGCGAAGAGTGGCAGGCACAATCTCAGGGGGCAGGTGGAGGTAGTCACGGAGATACTGGATGCCCTCGTTCGTAAGGTACCAGTAGAAGTGTCTCCAGGCAAACTGTTCCTTCACGTAACCTCGGGACTTGAGAGACTGGGAGGCAGAAGACTGCGGTTAAGATGGCGCTGCGTGAGCACAGACGTGCACGTCTGCAGTCTCAGCTCTGCAGGAGGCTGAGGCAGGAGGCTCCTTCGAGCCCAGCTGAGTCACAGTGACACATTTCAAAAGCAAAAGTAAGTCTGGCACTCTGGGTCTGACTAGATGGTACACTCCTGTAATCCCAGCACTTAGGAGGCCAAGGCAGGAGGATCCCACAGGTAGCCAGCCAGCTTGGGCCACAGGAGCTCAGGGCCAGCTTGAACTCCGTGGTGAAATCCTGTTTCAAAAAAAAGGAAAAAGGGGCCGGGGAGATGGCTCAGTAGAGTAAGTGCTTCCAAGGCAAGCACAAGGGCCTGAGTTCAATCCCTGGTTCTGCAGAAAAGATAAAAAAAAAAAAAGAAAAAAAAAAAGGTGAACAAACAAGTCTGGTACTCTAGACGGTCCTTGAAAGATAGCTACCAGACACGTAATATAACTTGTCCTTTAAGGCAGTGAGTAGCCACTTGGCCCCATTCTGGCTTCCCGTTGGAATGCGCCTTGAGCATTGGTCTAAAACCCATCTCATCCCACCTGTACCTGCATGGCTTTCATGACGTGAAGGTTGGGCACGTTCTTGTCTGCCAGCTCCGGGTGCTTGGGCATGTGGACGTCTTTCTTGGCCACCATCACCCCCTCCTTGAAAAGGAGCTCATAAATGGCGATCCGGTTCTTCTTGGGCATCAACATCTACGAGAGAGAAGTGACCATGAAGAGCGCCTCTGGGCAGGGCGGCTGGGGTCCGGGCAGCAAGGTCATGCACGACCTGAGATCGACCCCCAAAGCCACTGCCCACGGGGTAAACGGTAGTGAGGAGAGCACGCGAAAGGGCAGGCTACGACCGTACTGTGACAAACGTCACAGGCCTCACAACCAGAACGGTGCAGGGAACCGGGACACGGGGCAGGGGTGCAGACGCTGCTGTCTCATGCCCCTGGGGACTCAGCAGCGACCGTGCCTGCGGCAGTGCGAGCGCCGAAGCTATCTTCTTAAGTCCCTCTTCCCGCCAGGCTTCTGCACGCGAATTTCCTAAATCTACCCCCCTAAACTAGGGTCCCACGGATATGCCAGGGGTCAGCCCCGAGCAAGCAGTCTTGCCCGAAAGGTAAAAAAAAAAAAAAAAGCATGCAGGCAAGACTCTGCTTCCCCAGCCTCTCCTGCTGGTCCCCGCCACTGAAGGACTTCAAACTCCGTCCGTCTTCCGCCCCCCGACGTCAATTACGCCCATAAGCGCTCCCTTAACTCCCGCAACGGCGCCTCAGCCGCTCTCGATTAAAAATGGATGTGCGAGGAGAACAAGGGATGCCCCCAGCTCCGACCCTGACGACGTGCGGTCACAACGGCGGCGGGATGGCCTGGATGGGGGCCGATGGAACCCTAACTAGCGAGGAACTCACCGCGGCGGCTGCACGGTCCGAGGCCGAGGCTGGAAAGGAAGGGGCATGCGCGACGCGGCGTCTCTTCCGGGCTGCGCGGCCCCGCCCCCTGCCAGGACCCGCGCGCTGCCTGGGGTGGCTTCGGCGGTGCCAGAACCAACGACCTAAAGTTGTTAAGGGCGCCTGCGCGGGGAAACTCGCGGGGAACTATGGATCCTAAATGCTTTTATTTGTCAATAAAAATAGGTGCTGAAGCGGGAGGAGGCAGATTCGAGCCCAGTATGCGCAGTTTTGCCATTTGGGAGACCCTGTCTCAAAATTTAAAAAACCAGAAATAAAAAATAGGGCCGGCGAGATAGCTCAGCCGTTTAACCCCCCCCCCTCCTTAAAAAGGAGCTCATAAATCGCCCGCTTTGGCAAGCCTAGGCAAGCGCAGGGACGGCGGTTCGACCCCCGGCACCGCCTGCCGTGCCAGCCCCGCCCCCAGGGTGGGCGGAGCCGGCCAGAGTGCGCGGTAGTGGTGTAACGAGGCGGCGGGAGGATCGTTTTGAGTTCAAGGTTAGCCTGGGCTGCAAAGTGAGTTTAAGGCTAGCTTGAACTGTAAAGCGAGACCCTGTCTCAAAAAGATTAATGAAAAAAAAATAAAAAAGAGAGAAGGAGGAGGAAGAGGAGGAAGAAAAGCTGTTGCTGCGTAGGGTGGAAGACGCTTCTAATCCTTAGGAGGCTGAGACAGGAGGGTGACAAATGCAATCCCAGCCTGAGCAATTTAGCAAGACCTGTCTCAAATTAAAAAATAAAAATAAAAATAAAATTTCTGGGGACATAGGTTAGTGCAAAGGTGCCAGTACAAGAAAAGGAACTAGGGCTGGGGAGATGGCTCAGTGGAATAAGCACTTCCCTGGCAAGCACAAGGGCCTGAGTTCAATCCCCAGTTCTGACAAAAAAAAAAAAAAAAGAAAAGAAAAGGAACTATATAATCCAAAAAGAATCTGAAAAAGAATGGTCCATTTGAAACAAGAATAAGAAGCTTGAAAGATCTGGAGGCTTGAGTAACAGAAAGTCACGGAAGGAAACAACAAAGTATGGGCGAGATACTATGAGATATTTTGCAGAATTTTTAGAAAGCAATACATTTCAGAGCTAGGTAACTGAATTTAACAAATTCCAATTTGGAATTCCAAATTGGCAAACCCACTTCCAAGCATTTTTTTTTTTTTTTTGTTAATGTATTTAATGCAGGGCCTACAGGGTCTCACTACACAGATCGGACTCGTAGTGATCCCTCCTGTTTTTCAGCCTCCTAAACACTGGGATTACAGATGCACGCCACCATGCCCAGTCTCATTCCCAGTCAGTGCGGCTGGTCAGGGATTGAACCCCAGTCCCTGTGTCTGACTAAGCAGGCGCTTTAATCCGCTGAGCTATCTGGCCAGCCCTCCCAAACATATTACAATGAAATAAAATGTGAAAAAGCAAGAGCCTGTAATCCTAGCATCAGGAGGCTGAGGCTGGAGGCTAGCCTGGACTACGCAGTTCAGGCGCAGCCTGAGCTATAACAGAGAGGCCCTGTCTTGAAAAAAAAATAAAGAACCAGGAGATTTATTTATTTATTTTTTGTAGTACTGGCAATTAAACCCAGGCTTGGTGCACCGAGTTACCTCCCCAAACTTTTGCCCCCGCAGCCCTTTTTATATTTTTATGTTGACACAGGCTCTTCTTTCAATTGCCCAGGCTACCCTTGAATAGGCTGTCCTCCTGCCTCAGTCTGCCAGAGTGCTAGGGTTCCAGGTGTGCACCACTCTGCTGGGCTTAATAAAAACAGTCCGCAGGAGAAGCCAGGGAAAGAAAAGAGAAAAGAAAGACAGGCAGGCCAGGTATGCCCTGTGTCCTTAAAGATCCCGGTAATCCAGATACTCAGTGATATGGAAAGAGGATTACAAGCTGGAGGCCAGCCTGGGAAGGTTAGAAAAATCTTGTTTCTAAAAGTTTGGGTTTGGGCATGGTGGTGCACAGTGTAATCCTTGTTCTTAGTAGGCTGAGATAGGAGGATTATTGTGAGTTCCAGGCCAGTGTGTGTGTGTGTGTGTGTGTGTGTGTGTGTGTGTGTGTGTGTGTTTTAGGGAAGGGTCTACAGGGTGTTCAAGGTCTCACTACTAGATCGGACTCGTAGTGATCTGCCTGTTTACAGCCTCCCAAGAGCTGGGATTACAGATACACGCCACCACGCCCAGTCTCAGTTGCCATCTCAGTGCATCCTGGGGGTGGGGGTGGGGCTGGCACAGGAGGCCTGGGGATCAAACCCCTGGCCCCTGCTCCTGGTTGCAGGCACTTTAATCCTCTTAGCTATTTGGATGGCCCCTAATGTGTGTGTGTGTGTGTGTGTGTGTGTGTGTGTGTGTGTGTTTTAATGTACTTAGTACAAGGTCTACAGGGTCTCACTATATAGATCTGACTCATAGTAATTCTCCTGTGTTCAGCCTGTCTCATTTTTGAGGGGCCGGGGAGATGGCTCAGTGGAATAAGCGCTTCCCTGGCAAGTGCAAGGGCCTCAGTTCAATCCCCGGTTCTGCCAAAAACAAAAAACAAAACCATTTCTGTATTCTCTTAAAAAAACATAAATAAGTAAATAAATGGTCTGGGGCGCAGCTTGTGGCCCAGTGCACTGGTGGCTGGGTCCCCAGCACTGAGAGGCAGGCGTGCTGCTCATGGGCAGCTGCAGTGGGGCTCAGTCCCCAGGGCGCCCCCCTCCTCATTGGGGCTCCCCTAGAACAGCAAATGTCACAGCCCCGGTCCCTCTACTGGCTCCCAAATCCCTTAGCGAGGTCCTCCTGCCGCTCCCTCGGGACTGAGCCCGGCCTTTGCACCGAGCTGCATCCCGAGCCCTTTTGAGTTCCTCCACTTAGAGCCAGGGTGCTGCCTCGCCTGGGCTGCGCCGGTGCCATGCCCAGCGTCCGGCTCTGCCTTGCAGGGTGGCATCCCTGGCCGTGTTCCCAGCCCCGACTGGCACCTAATTGTGAACAGGGGCTGTGCCTTGTCCTCTCTCAGGCCTTGCATTTAGCACAAGAGCTCTTGTGTTCCATCAGTCGCAAAGAAACGTTCCGGTATAAACAGCGATGGGGGCGAGGGGGAGGAGCTAATAACATCGGATCCGACCCGCCAAGGCCTTCTCAAGGGGGGGGTAGCTCAGTGCAAAGGCCCTGGTTCCATTCCCAGTACTGAAAAAGCAAAAGCCTGCTCCGATGACCGTGCTTCACGTCCCAAAGCTGCCGACTCCACTCAGCCGCTGGGCCCTGAGCCCCGGGCCTCCGGCCAGGTGTTGAAGCCAACATGGGGCCAGGAGCACATATGGGTGCTACAGCAAGCTGCAAATCACCTGGGACGTGTGTCCGGGCTGCGCCTGCTGAGTGACAGAGTGGCAAGGTGACAGCTCAGCGGCAGCCCATGGAGGAGGCGTCGGGCTCGGGTGAAACACCAGGCAGAGGCCGAGTCCCAGGCAAGGCCAGGAGCACAGATGAGGCCATGGCAGCCAGCACCGTGGGGCAGACTCACGGGGCCACGGACGGGTGCCCTCGCCTCAGCAGGCGGTCAGGGTTCACCTAAGGGCAGCTAAAGCCCCACAGGCTTCAAGCTGTAGCGGCTGCATCAACTTATTATTATTATTATTTTAATGTATTTAGCACAGGGTCTACAGGGTCTCACTACACAGATGAGATTCGTAGTGATCCTCCTGTTTTCAGCCTCCCAAGGGCTGGGATTCTAGGTGCACGCTACCACACCCAGTCTCAATTGCCATCTCAGCAGAAAATCTGAGATGACAGGGCCAGGGCCAGCACAGCATGCCGGGGACCAAACCCTGGTCCCTGTATCTGCCTAAGCAGGTGCTTTAATCCGCTGAGTTATCTGGCCTGCCCTCAACTGTCTGTTTAGATTATCTTCTTGGCCGGGTGTGGTGGCGCACGCACATGCCTATATTCCCCGCACTGAGGAGGCTGAAGCAGGAGGATTGTTGTGAATTTGTGACCAGCCTAGGCTACAAAGTAAGCTCAAGGCCTACCTGAACTGCATAGCAAGACCCTGTCTCAGAAAAACCAAAAAAAGAAAGGAAAAAGAAAATGAGATTATCTTCATAGAGAGCAACCCAACCCCACCTTTAGCACACACACCCTGAACAGGTCTGAGATGTATCTGTCAGACGTGAGTCAAATGCTCATAATCTGAGCACATGTGACCATTTGCCATGTATTAAAGACAAAACAACCACCTCCCCGTGGTTTAGTAAAACAAATTATTTTATTTTTTTGAGACAGGCCCTTGTTGTGTAGTTCGAACTGGCATTGAACTCACTATGTAGCCTAGGCTGGTATTGAACTCAAAAGGATCCTCCTGCCTCAGCCTCCTGAGTGCTAGAATTACAGATATGTGCCACTGCACACCCCCCCACCGAGAAATGGGTGTTTCTGGCCCAGGTCATGGAGGTAAGGGGCCTGGAACTGCGGGCTGGTGTCTCTTCCCCAAGGGGTCTTTCTGCTGGGCCCAGGCAAGGTGGGGAGTGCGGCCCTGGGAGGACAGGGTGCAGTCCTGCTGCGTCGAGGGCCCCGGGCCGGCAGTGAAGGTGGGCTGCGCAGGCACGCTCCAGAAGGATCAAGCCGACACTCCCGGTGGGGGTCCCCAGAAGCAGCGCTTTCCTTCTTCATTTTTTTTGGTATAATACATATGTAGTAAATATTCATTGCACATTTTGATCACACCATGTATATACATAAATGTTTACATTTTTAAAAATGCATTACAGGGCTGGCGAGATGGCTCAGTGGTCTAGAGCACCTACTTAGAACAAGCTTAGCAAAGCACAGGGACCGCGGTTCAATCCCCCAGCACCACATGCCGGCCAGCCCC